AATAGAGGCCTACATTTTATAGGACTGTACTTACAGACATCAGGGGAAGGAGTTTTTCATGGAGGTCTCCTGGGCGAGCTTCCCTTTTCTTATAACAGTGACAGACACACTCCCTTTTTTTTCCTCGCCAACTGAGACCTGCCTAATCTTAATTGACTTTAAGTTGCTTTATCCAGCTATGTATGAATGAAGTTAGGTACAGAAGCACCTGACCTCTACCCAGCTCTGTGAAAAGGGGGACTTTTTTTGGGGGGTGGTATTGGGAATTGAACTCATGACCTCATGCTTGCAAGGCAAGCGCTGTGCCACTGAGCTATATCCCCAGCCCTAAAAGGGGGACTTGAGATGTTCTTGGTTCCTCCTTTTACCGGAGTCTACTTAGCTTGTGAAGGGTTTTTTCCCTACAGGCTTGCTTGGTCAAGAAATAGCAACTTTGAGAGAAAGCTATAAGCAGAAATTTAAGGTATAGTTTGTCTCTGTGAAGATGAAACTGAGTCTGTGGCTCACATAGTAGGCTTTCAGATATGGTTTTCAGAACATATTACTTAAAATGTATGTTGGCTTTAAAATGTGAATAGAAGCAGCCACCAACTCCGTATCTCCACGGAGCTGTCTGCATTAAGTAAGTGACTAATGTCGGACTCCTACAAAACCATAGGATTTCAGTCTAAGCCTGAGGGATTCCCCCTCCTTTTTTTGTGCTACTGGGGTTTGTACCCAATAAACACCAAACTATATCTTTATGCCTTTAAAGTTTATTTTGAGATAGGTTCTCACAAAGTTGCAGAGGCTACCCTTGAACTTGGTGGCATAGCCTCAGCCTCCTGAGCATCTGGGAATACAGATGTGGGCCACCATGACTAACCCAAAATATTTGTTAGTTTTTAGAGTATTATCTCTCTTTGAGGTGACTTTCTTAATTTTATCCATACTTTAAAATTCTTTTTTTGGCTAGAGATTAACAAAAATCATGACTTTAAAAAATAGTTGACATAGAAATATACAAAACCAAAAATGTAACAGTGATTTAAATAATTAACATTGTATTAAAGTAAATCACTTTTTTTAAACAAGAGATTATTAGAATCTGTTATGAAAGTGTTCTCTTGTATTTAGAGGCTGAATTTCTTTTTATATGCTGCTCAGAAACATATGTTTTAGTACGGGTCACCAGTGTTTTTGCAGACAACAGTTTATTCTGAATACCACTTAGGATTCAGAAGACCCATTCTGGGAAGACAGAGAATAAATACAGAAGAAAGAAGGAGAAATAGTAAATACAGAAAGGAGAAGCTGACCCTATATACATTAATTTTGGGTCAGAGGATTAATCTTAATAAATCATTAAAATTTCAGAGATTATCTTTACCAGTTTTACCATTCTTTCACTGAGGGCCAGATTAGATAAATCACTTGTCAGACAGTAGGTAACAGCACAGCCAGAGATGATAGAAAAAATGCTTGTATTTTATCATTGTAATTTTCATATTCAGAATTTTACTGTAACTGATAATAGTCACTTTAGAAAATAACTTAGCGGTTTCCATATGACCCAGTAATGCCACTCATAGGCTCTACCAAGAAAAACAGAAGCATACATCTGTAAAACCATTGTACACACCTGTTTACAGCCACATTAGTCATAATATAGAAAAAAAAACAAAAACAAATACCTTCAGCTCTGCTCTAGAAAGAAGACCCTATACATATTGCAGCATAAATAAACCTTATATACTACGCTTAGTGAAAGAAATTGGATACAAAAGATTATATATTACATGATAATTACCTGAAATGTTGGGAGAAGGAAATTTATACATAGATAGAGGTACTAGAGGAGGGTATTGACTGCAGACAAGCCCACGGGATTATTTAGAGTGATGTAAATACTCTAGAACTCAATTATAGCAGTGTTTGCACAATTACAGAAATTTGAACAGAAATATTGTTCAAGTGTAAGTTACCAAACTGCTCTTAAAATGAGTGAACTTTATGGCAAGTACATTGTACTGCTGCAAAGCAATATAAAAAAATTAAAATGTGGTAACACTGATTCATACTAAAGATTACATTGTATATATTTTTTGTTCTGTCGTTGGTGTAGGGTAATACCTTTTATAGAAGAAAAAGAAAGGGACAGACAATGAGGCAGAAAGACAGGCAAACAGACATGGGCCTAACAGTTATTTGGCAGTTCTCTTACCCTAAATTGAGAACATTTGGTTTCTTTGAAAAGGAACTGTTATTTTGACATCAGCTAAACTTGCTAATTTTGTAAATATATATGTGTTTTTGCATACATATATTTTCTTCTTTATTGCTTCCCTTTATAATTTGTTCAGTATCCTGTATGATTTCCCTGTAGTTGAAAGTTGAAGAACTTGCCACTATTACCAGCATTTTTTTTTGGAGCTATAAAGCATCCTGACTAATAAAAGTTCTGTTTTATTTAATTAATAAAAGGCTAATAATTTATTTATTTAATAAAAGGCTGTTAGGCTACTTTGTACTATATACATCTCTCTTCTGCTATTATCAATTGATCTTGTGCTTCCTGAAAGTTGTTTGTTTTTATTTTCAAAGGTGTTTATGTTCATTATTGTTCTTATTGTACAGTTTAATATTGTCTAAACTGATAGAGTGATGTGAAAAGGAGAATTTTTTTCCTTACCAAAAGAGATTAAATGCTTTTGAGACATTTTGGTCAAGGTAAATGGCTAATATATTGATTTGGATTAGGTGTGGGCAATTTAAAACATAGGAGTGGAAACAAAATCTAGAAGAATTTTATATTCAAATTGCACCACAAATTTCTTCAATTAATGATGTACCATAGTAAAACTGAAACACTAATGTCGGACAGTTGATTATGTATGAGTGTATGTAAGAGAGGTGATGTTGATCTCCTATCACAGGACAAAGAAGATTCCATTAACTGGAGTATTGGGACAGTAGCTAAGTGGTAGAGTATATGCTTATTAGCATATTTGAGGCTCTGGGTTTGATCCCCAGCATCATCCTTTTAAAAAAAGGAGGAGGTTGACATCTGAGTGAATATTTGTATGTTGTAAAGTGTTTAAGATACAAGTGTGTATGTGTGTTGAATAGTTGCTTTATCATCTGGTTAACTAACCAGGTACTGGTTTTGAGGATGTTAGTAGGTAAAACAGATTCTCCTGGAGAATACTTTTCTATACCATGGATATTTATATTTTGTACTGTGAAAAGTCAAATTTATGAATTAGTTCACTTAAGTAATGGAGCAGTTATTTTCATAATTAAAATGGTGCTTGTGTCTCTACTAATTCAGTACATTTATGCCAGTTTTTATTGCGTATGTCTGGTTTTATGCTGAAAAGTAAGATAATAGGATGAGAGTATGAAAAGTTTGAGCCTGGAGCTCACAGTGAAAGTAAGGAAGAGATACAGAACTGGTGTGATGCATCGAAAGAAACGGATGCAGTCAGAAGGAAACGTGAAGTTCAAGACCTTGAGGGTGAAAGTGTAAAGTCCAGGAACTCACTGGAGAAATCACCAGTGAAGTTTGAACTCAAATGAAGTTGATGTCAAGATTGGAAAAAGTGGGCTTGTAAGATTATATAAAGTGTAGAAATATGCGCAGTGGAGATGTTAATAGGAGAATAGCTTTTTTTTTTTTTTGCAAGTAGGTACCTACTGCTGCATAAGATGAATGAATGAAGAGAAGGTTGCAGGAATGATGCTTAATGAAGTGAAGGCTGCACACAGACAATCTGAAGTTGTGTGGAAGATTGATCAGTAGCAGCCTAGTTACATTGTTAGTATGGAAAATCTCTGTTAATTGTGTAGTTTGGTCTTGGTTGTGTTGTTTCAAGTTTATATCTAATACGTTATTCCAGAAGGTTCAAAGATCACTGTTTACATTAGTTCTTAACTACTTCTTTGATTACAGATGCCTCCAGGAATGTGCTGAAAGCTATGAGCTCTCTTTCCAGAGTACTTACCTGTAAACAAACACGTAATAATTTCCGGTTGTTAGAGGGTTTGACAGACAAGAAGGGTCTTTGTTAAGAACAAAAAGGAATTACGTGACTAATTCTTTTCTGTGTTGAAAGCATTATGCTTATTTCGTTGTATTTTAGTATATATACGAATTTCAAATTATGCTCTAAATAAGACTTTTATGGCCAGTAATTCTGGATTATCTATGCTCTTTAAAGTGAGATACCATTAATTTTGGTAAGAACTTGAAAGTAAGATGGTTGCCAGTAAGTACTCAGTGTGAAGTGACAGTAACTGTGTTTTAATTATGTGACACTTAATGCTGTTCTCTTGTGTATGCATTAGAGCATTTGATACTTACCAGTAGCAATCAGTGCAAGTCATGGATCTGTATTTCATTCAGCTTTCAATTTTAACTAAAAAGAAATAATCTTCAAGTACAGTATTTAAGAAAGAACCTGACTGAGGCCTGCTATAGCTTTGAGGGAAAGGTACGATGTGCCTTTCTCTTCTTCTTTCTGCTTATTTGCCTCTCTGGGTGTGGCGCTTGCTTTTTTCCCTTTTCTTTCTTGGGTAAATTAGCAACCATCTGTAACCATTATTTGTTTTGGTAGTTATTGCAGAATGTAAAGATTTAATTTTATATAATTTGAGTGATACTGGAGAATTCCATAGAGCTTATGAGAATGTGAAGTGTTTCTCACTTGAGAAACAACTGCTTTTGGAATTTTATTTCTGTGATCGTCGTCGTCCTCATTGCTGCACTGGGAATTAAACGCATGCCAGGGGCCTGGTGCATGCTAGGTAAACACAGTACCACTGAGTTACACCTTCTGCTCTTTTTAGGTTGCGCAGAGTTGAGATCCTCTTGCTTCACCGAGCCTTGCCCTTAGAAGCTGCCATCACAGATGTGTGCCATCACACCCACTGTTTTCATTATTTTTATTGGCAGTCACAAGCATTACTTTTATTTTGGTAAAATGTGCATTCAGGATTATTTTATTTTGTTTTAACTGCAGGACCGTGTATATGTACAGCAAAATAATGTGGAGAATGTCTACAATTTGGGGTTAATTATTTTTCGAGATCAAGTTGTACGTTATGGGTGTATTAGGGATCATCTTCGGCAAACTCTGTTGGATATGATTGCAAGAGAGCGGAAAGGAGAAGTTGTAGACAGGTATATCATTTATCTTTTTACTCCTGTGCGTTGAATTTTCAGTTGTATCTTAAGAACCAATCCATTAGCCGGGGATATAACCCCGCAACACAGTATCTTCCTGGCAAGCACAAGGTCCTGAGTTCAATTCCCAGTACCAACAACAACAAAAAAAGGAACCAATTCATTGTCATAGTTTTTATTAAAATAAATGCTCGGTCCAGCACTTTGTTAAACTCTTCAAAAACTATCAGTTACCTAGAATTGAAGCACACAACTGTTACATTTTTAGAAGAGACTATTGTAAGTGTTGTTTAATGTGCTTTTTCAAAACAAATCAAACGTTAGTCTTAGCTTTTGAGTTCCTCAGCCTGCTTCAGAATTTTGTATTCAAGTAATTCCATCTCGGGCTCCCCCTACCTGGGACCACAGGCAAGCACCACTGTGCCCACCGGGGCTTTTTGTCTAACCTTCATTCTTAAAAGGTTTAAAGGAAAATGTTGAGCATAATAAAAAATGACTGAGAAGTACTATCCTCCTGAGTCATAAGTCCCTAGTCTTAATTTAGTTACAATGTCAGTTTTGTGATGCTCTTGCTGAAATGCCTTGAAACAAGTGAGATTGCTTTCTCTACTTTTCAGAGCACCTGTTAGCTTAAAATTTCTGAAGTTCTTACTGTTTCAGCTTTGCTGCTTGATCAAGACTGCCCAAAAGCCGTTTAGTGCAAAAACTTTTATTGCCCAGAAGCAGCTATGTGTTACTTAGGTCTGGTGGTACAGTCTCCCTTACCTATCTGCATTCTGTCCTCCCTGGCTCTAAATAAACAGCTATTTATCTTAAAAATTTTGTTATGATAGGGTAAGAACAACTTGAGATAAGTAACTATAAGATATACTTTTCAATTAAATTTTTTCTTTTATTAAAAAGTAAAAATTTCATAACAAAATAATAGGGGAATAATAATAGTCAGTACATTGCATATTGCCATCTTCAAACTAGTTACTCAGAGTACAGGATATGGGCACTAAAAAATTCTTCAATTGATGTTAGCATGAACCTTCCCTTTTAGTGAACTGAGAGGTACTAATAGTGTAGCTACCTTGCATTTTTCTCCCTTTTCCCTTCCTTACCCTCCCCCTTCCTAGTTCCTTTTTCCTTTGAAACAGTTACTTCCTATTTCACAATATCTGTTGTACATTCTAGACCTTATTTACTCTTTCAGTTTCTCACATTAGGGAGACAGTATGATGTTTACACATGTGACTGGTTTATTTCATTCATGAGTCTGGTTTCAAGTTGTATCCATTTACATTTACCTATAAAAGTCTCAAGTTTACCCTTCTTTATGGCTGGGTAATACTCGACTGTATAAAAATACCACAACTTTTTTACCCATTCCTTGGTTGATGGGCAGTTGGGTTGTTTCCAAAATTTAGCTATTACAAATTGTGCTGCTATAAACATGGGTGCACATATATCGCTGTGGTATGATGCTCTAATGCTTCTGGGAAGATACCCAGAAGGGCAATAACTGGCTCAAATGGGACCTCTAATCCTAGCTTTTTGAGGAATCTCCATTCCACAGTGAGGATTTCCACAGTGGGTTGCACCAGTGTGCACTTCCTCCAACAGTGGAGAAGTGTTCCTTTTTCCCCACAGCCTGTCCAGCATAATTAAATTTTTCTTAATTCTTGTGATATATATGAATGAGTCACTTCTGGGAGATTGGTCACTTTAGTAAAAGTTAAATGTTCTGAAGGTTTTGAATATTTCTGTGAATCTTTAATCATCAAGGAACTTCTTTTTACAGAGGCGCAATAAGAAATGCTTGTCAGATGTTAATGATTTTAGGTCTTGAAGGAAGATCAGTCTATGAAGAAGATTTTGAGGCTCCTTTTTTGGAAATGTCTGCAGAATTTTTTCAGGTAATCAGTAAAGATGTAAATAAATGATCTTTTAGGATGTGAACATTATTGAATATAGCTATTAATTTGAACATTTTGGCTTTTTGACTGAGGCCCATTGAGGAAGGAAAGGTGCAAAAATAACTCTTTAAGACACCAACTCCACATTCTCACATTCTGCTGAAGGAGCTCAGTGATAACACGTTGAAGAATTTAAAGGTATACATTGTAAAACATGTAAACTTAGAAATATTCTTAACATTTTATTAATGTACCATAAGTTCATAGGCAGCACATCACCAGTGAAACTATGGCTGTGTAGGCTTTTAGTAATAAGAGTTACTTGTAAACATAAGGATATGCATGATTCCATGGTATGTGCCTCATGTTTCCCGTAAAGGTCATTGAGTAGGAAATTATAGGCTAACCCCCAAACAGATTGCTTAAATGAAGGTAAACTAAGGGTAATTTGTAATGAAATGGTGCTAGTAACTGTAACTGATTACTAACAACCATAGGCAGTATTTGTAAGGTAATCAAATTCTTCTTGAAAGTTGCAGCTATTTGAGTATTTTGCAGTAGGAGTTTTGTCAAAGTAGATGTCTTAGTAGAATATTAATTTAAAGTTTTCCTCTAATAGTAGACTTTTTTAAAATATAAAATTGTAACTTAATAGTTTAGTAGGTGATTAATAAGAGCCATTATTACATGTGTATAAAAATGAAACTCAGTGAATTTTATTGCCATTAATCCATAAAGAAACAAAGGATGGACTCGTTGCTTTCTTCTTCATAATCAGTTTCTAGCCCATCAGCAAAACCTTTGTGGCTACACTGGTAAGCCCAGAACACACTTGAATGCTTTATAAGTTAGTAATGCATAGCATGTCTTTCTTATCCAGTATTCCATCAGGTAGTTCTACATGTTTTTGAAAATATTTTTACCATTTCATGGTTTTAATATGCTTCATTGCCAAAGTGTGCTACAGTGACATCTGTACAGGTATATAAACACTTACATACACTTTTTAATAGTGAGTGGAGATAGTCTCATCAAGATTTTTATTTAGTATGTTGACATCTACTTAGGAACTGGATTATTTTTAAGGATTAAAACTACTTTTTTATTAAGAAAATGGGAGTGTTATTTTATATGTAATGTTTATATCAGTATGTCCTAGGTAATTCTTATATATATTCATTATCACTATTATCAAATAGGCTAAAATCAGTTAATGTTTGTAATATAATGGAACTTCTGTAAGGGAGACAAGATTGTTACTTAAAAACACTATTTCTGGGGCTGGGGATTTAGCTCAGTGGCAAAGCCCCTGCCTGGCAAGCGCAAGGTCATGAGTTCGGTTCCCGGTACCAGAGAAAAACCAAAAAAAAAAAAAACACTATTTCTGAAATTTTATTACATATACTCCTTTATATCTGGGAATGGGGTGGCAGGCAGACTATAGTAACCAGCAGGATGCCAGCAAAACTTAAGATACATAATTAATTGCTCTGGTCGTAATTTTATAATGAAACAGAGAAAAATTTCCTATTCTCATTTAGAGTCCCAGGCATCTATCTGGAGTACACTACTTACAGATAATATATCGATTTAGTTTTATGTAGGTAAATTGGAGACTAAAACTGTATAAGTCTGTAATGAGAAATTACACCAAGTCTTGGGTGTCTTTGGCTGATTTTTGAGAAACATAGAAACCCACTTAAAAGCAGAAAGACATTGAAAAAACTCATGTCTCTTAATTACAGATGGAAAGCCAGAAGTTTTTAGCAGAAAACAGTGCTTCAGTATATATAAAGAAAGTAGAAGCTAGAATTAATGAAGAAATAGAGCGGGTGATGCACTGCCTTGACAAATCAACCGAAGAGCCCATTGTAAAAGTGGTTGAGAGGGAACTGATTTCCAAGCACATGAAGACTATAGTAGAAATGGAGAATTCTGGGCTAGTACATATGTTGAAGAATGGAAAGACAGAAGGTAAGTGTTACCAGTGGAAGAGTAATTCAATATTTATTCTCCCCTATCAGTAAGTTTTTATTCTACAATTAGATTTTGAAAGTCAGTTTCAAGAAGTTAGGGTATGTATAATTAATTTGTCACTACTCTTTATACAATGTGATGATGGTTTGCACCTTAAAATGAAAATTTTCAGTATTTCTAGTGACTTGAGTGGGGTTTTCCCTTTGTTTTAAGTTTTCTTCATGTTTTTCCTAATCAAGAAGATAAGAGGTTTATAACCTTGCTGAAGCAAGTGAGCTTCTTAAGCATTCCTATACTTCTGTATACCAGTGTGTTTGGGTTCTTTCTATTGGTATGTACTCAGCTGTAGATTATGTGTATCTTTTTAAAAATCTCGTTTCCATATTTAAATTTGTGTAGAGTTTTGTTTGGGATTTAGTTGTGATAAGGATGCCAAAAACTGCAAACATATTGGTGTTTTCCATATTGATATACTGTATTTAGTTAGTGGATACATTATCATTTTTGAGAGAACTGTAGTGCTTATTATTTATAGCTATTTACTTTTTTTTTTCCCCTAAAAAAGACATGGAAGTGATAAGTAGACTAGAAATTATAAGTAAAACAGCGAAAATCATACCCACTTCATTCTTAGTTTTTGATGCTTTGGATTCAAACTTACCGTTCCAAACCAGAGATATAGTATTAAATAAATAAACGTAATTACCATGTTCTGCTACTTTTTAGGTGAAATCCTGGCAGTAAGCTGCCTACTTACTTTTGGTAAAAGAAAGATATACCATTGTTGGTATCATAGTATACAAGGAGTGAAAAGCTTTTTTTGAAGGAGAATTTTAGAGACAAGGATGCAAGAAAAGTGAGGGCTAAAAGATGTGGTCTGAAGACGGCTTTATCAGTAATTATTTCTAATTGAATCTTTGCTTGTATTTGGAAAGGGTTATATTTCTCTATCGGTTTCTGAAAAGTTGTGTGTAAATCAATTTTTTTATTGAACCAGAGAAACTCGTTTCTAAGGGACTCTGCTGGTACATTATCCTTATAAAAGCAGAAGGCAAAACAGAAAACATAGTGCATTTGTGAGGTTTTCTGAAATAGGGTACTCTTTGATAATTGTCCGCATAGAGGCTTGGCAAACTTTTTTATAAAAGCAGATATTTTAGACTTGAGGGCTGTGTAATGAATTAATCATCCTTGCCATCATAGAAGAAAGTAGCTGTAGAAAAATAACACAAAAGAAAAAACCTGATTTTGTTCTTTTAAAACTTAGTGAGCCCTGAAATTTGAATATCATGTAATTTTCACATCACTAGCTTGTATTTTGTTTGTTTTCCTTTTTTCCACCCACCATTGAAAAATGTGAAAACCATTCTTAATTCATAAGTACTACAAAAGGAGGTGGTATGATGGATTTGACCCTTGGGCTATAATTTGATGACTGCCAACCTAAATGGTCCCTGATGGACTAGGCTTTATGAAGAGCGTTTTCCCCTCTTAGACAAAATGACTGTTGAAAAATTGTCATAATGTACTGTTTAGGTATTGAGTTACTGCTTTCTTACCTGCCTAGGTGTGTGTCAAGAGGGATGATTAAGTGGGCTGGAGATTAGGGCCTGGGAAGTATTTGATAAGGAGATTGTTTCCTGGACATACTTGAATTACAGTATCTCTGGGTTCTACGTGGAGGTGTGTGTTAAACATACTAGGTATATCCAGCAGTGGCAAGAACCTAGTAAGAACATGAATGGAGGAAATAGTAGAATGGTATTTACCACGGTTTTGTTCTGTTTCATACTTAATGTTTTCTGGCTTCAGATTTCCTGACCTCCTAATAGGGACCTAGTTATGAACTGTCTTAATTGTGGTGGCCCCTACTCTTGCACCATAGGCTGAAACTTTTTCAAAAGCACAGTTCCACCATTAAGAAGCCAAATTCTCATAAATCAGAAAGTGAAAAAGTTGCTTACTATGGCAGATAAATTTGCGTTAGTTATTATATGCAGAGAATAGTCTGAAACAGTTCAAATAGTACTTCATTTTTACTGTTTTATTTT